GGGTCCATATAGTTTCCGTTTTCCCTTAATCAACTTCATGGATGAAATTATTTATATTGCTATCTGAATGACAAATAAAACCTCTAGCTGATGAACGATTATTTAATGTCGAGAAATTGTATTTTGGAAGGTAAATTATTTCTTAATATCACGTAGGCTGACATCCGGTTTTATTCAAATTGGTCGGACAAAACTGGGTATGCATAGAAATAATGATAACAATTACTTTTTTAATATGGTTATGTCAATTTATAGCAACAAATTAATACTAAGATCGTTCAACACATAGAAACACACATGAGATTAAAAATTATCCGATAATCAAAGGTAACAGATATCACAAATTAAAAATTTTGATAATGTTCCTCTGCAATGCTACAGGCTCCATTTGCCCTTCTTTTACGGTTGAGGCATTGTATTTAGCATTTCTAGGGATTTAGATTTGGAGTATTGCGGAATGTAAAGACATCCGGTCATTTTCAACTGATGAAGTCCCGGATAATCCGGCTGTGCCATTTAAAAGGATAAAAAGTTCGGATCGAATTTTACAATAGTCTTATATTTAAAATTCGATTTCTCAGGATTTATTCAACTTATTTCGCTCCAATTTCGTATTTTGCCATGTAACGTTACATACTTTAAAATGACGTAAGAAATTTTATACTTTACAGTCCTAAATTTATCGACTGTTATTTAATAAAATAATAAATACTTGCTAAAATTTACTTTTTGCAAGGAATTATCTTTGGATGAACGATTTTTTAATTGTATGCAAAAAAATTTCAATTCGCTTTAAAAGCTCTCGAGATATGGCGAAATAAGCGAAAAGTAAAATTAACATTAAAAGGGCCAAACTTGGAATCGCTCTCCTGACCAAACTAGGGGGAGTATATTTCCCAGGTTGCGGCTTAAATTTTTTAATAAAAAAAGACTATGAATATATTAATTAGGTAATTTTCATATTAATACCTACAATTTTAATACCCGTTGCATGACTTAAAATTGAGCATAAATTCTAATCAATTTAACGAGTCATACGGTTTCAATTAAAGCTTTTTTTTCCCATGATACTTGGTCGATTTTTATATGTTACGACAGATAAAATAAGTAAAGAGCATTTTCTAGTTCCGTGCAGAAAAATAAAGTGTGATTTTTTTTTAGTTTAACTTAATTGAGGTGTTTTACGTATATGAATTAAAAATTTTCATTAATTTACATTATTTTCATCCACGTAACACAATCCACATATTTTTTTATTGTTTATACATATGGTAAGATTTTTAGGCACAGTTACCCTTCTACAATTTTTTTTTGGCTGAAATATAATTAGTTTATATGTAGAAGACTATGCGGTGAAATCACTTGAGAACAAAAAATTATACTGATTGTGCATTTTATGTTAAAACTTTTTTCGACAGGTTAACTATTTTTACAATTAAAATAGTACTAATTTTAAATTATCTTTGACAGATAAACTAATTCCAAACTAAAACTGAAGAAGAATAGTAAATAAACTAGAATTAAGAAAATTGAAAAAGCTAATAAAGGTTTTAGCTTTTTTTATAAAAAATTTTCTTGGGGAAAAAAACTATAAGGGGCCTATTTACCCCTTAAACATAAATGACATTTTTCCCAATAGCTGAAATTCAATTGGCCTGCGTAACATGATTCCTCTCCATCTTTACAATTTAAAAAAATCTTCTGTAAATTTCCAACGAATCAACTGCAATATTAAAAACTTATTTTTTAGAGAAGTCATTTAAAATCGAAACCTTTATTTTTAATGAAATACTAGTGTATTCAAATGTCAATTCTTAAGACACAACCATTTCCCTTCTAAATAAAATTAACCACTCGATTTCAATACAGATTTTTTGTTTACTGCTGCTAAAAGAAAACACTATCACATCATATAATATGCAATATGACTATTAAAATAAGTGGAATGTTTTTGATTAAAATAATCTAATCACTTACTCTAACCCTACTCCTTTTAGTTTGCCAGTCTGTGAATGGTATTTAACTTCTGAATTTTTTAAATTAACCTAACAACCTTTCGATATATTTTAATTTGGATCGTCACATTCTATTTTCCTTTCACTCAAAGTACTCTAAGAAATTATAACATTAATAAAGAAATAATCATTTTAACTTTATTTTCGTAAATCATCACAGAAGTTAACACCTGTTTATCAGCAGCTTGTGTAAACAGTGGGCTTTTAACCACGCTGGAGACCGATCCTCAACTCATTTTTTTATAAAATCAATACCTACTATTTTGATTGATGATACGGAAGTATATTATTAAAGGAAGTAAGACGTTCTGAATTACAAAATAGTTTTCAGAAGCACATTATTAAGATGCTTAAGACGTTCTAAAAATTATTTTTAAATGTATTTTAATATTTTCAATATTGTTTATACGAAATGTCTTCAATTGCAATTATTCCATTGAAGTCTTTATTTTTCAAATTTTCAAGCGTTTATTTTTTATTTTATATTTTATATTTTTAAATGTAACATTCGTGCATCGGCACTTGCTTAGACCTGTTTGCAACCTCATGAAAAATTCTACTTTTTCAAAAATTTTGAAAGCTGATGTATAAACTTTGTGTGTTTGTATCATAGTGATCCCATGGTAATTTCTTTATAATATTTTGAAAAAATCTGAAAAAATAATAATTATTACAATAATTAAATCTAACACTCGTGCATCGACACTTGTTTAGATCTGTTGGTAACCTCATGAAAAATTTGACTTATTCAAAAATTTTGTAAGCTGATGTATAAACTTAACACGCTTTTATCATAGTAATCGCAAGATATTTTCTTTATAATATTATAAAAAATATCTGAAAAATTAATAATTATAATAATAATTTCTTCCCAATTTACTCAGTTAATATTTGGGTAATTTATTAATCACATATCATAAAAAACACCTTTTCACTTGATATATTAATTATAAACACATAAATTTATACTAGTTTTCTGTGATAATAACATGCGAAAAATTTTAAGCTTTCCAAAACGTATGATAATGCAAATGTCAAGGAGCATTATATTTTGAAATGTTCTTAAAATTCAATAACAAAACATCTAAAAAAATTTGCGTTTGTTTCGCATCATTAATAATTGTACTTTTAAAAAATAAGTGTATGAAAAGACCGGAATATAATGAATAACGATGCATTGCGAGAGATATAAACAAATGGAAAATAATTAATAAACGTAATTTGTGAAAAAGTACAGTAGAGCAACCGATTTACCGTTTATTATATAATTAAATTAGAAACTAATTTGGAAAAAATATATATTTTCTGTGCATTGCTCTAAATAAATAAATAAACGGAACTCCCGGATGTACTTTTGATCTAATGATTGGATCTTCAAATTCTAGGATCAATCTTGAAGGTTCAAGGGGGTAATAAGTTAGTAGATTCGATATTTTAAGTTATGAAATCAGACACAAAAATCTACTTTCTTTGAAAAAAATATGCCTTTTTATCGATGGATTTGGATTTACCATCTAAATATAGGGGGTAGCCGAAATCTGGGTAATATAGTCTCAATAATTTGGTCAAGAAAGTGATCAAAAGTTTGGACTCCTTAATGTTGCTTTTATTTTTTGCATATTTCGCCATATTTCGAGAACTTTTTAATTTGGCGAATAATTCGTGTATATTTAAACTATTTAACTAAATTCCGAAGTTCTTGTCTGAAACGATGCCTATATTACATCAAGTACTGCACGGAGAAAATAACCTGGTAAAATTATCTTACTACTTGATGGGGAGGACATTTCTAGTTTAAAAAAAAGCATAGTTTTGATTATTGAAACTAAAATATATGGTATTTAAATCATTCATTTCATAATTTTTCGATTCATATGTATATTACCGGAAATCTTGGTTTTCAAAAATATAGTTCTTATTAGCACACATTTAGTAAAAAATACAAAACTGAAAACTAAATTCAACCGACTTAATGGTTTTCATGCTAAGCTCTATAGTATCAGGATAAAATTACCGAATTTTGCTATATTTACCAAATTTTGTCACATATTTTATTACTTATTCTACCAAAATTATTACCAAATCTTTTCAGTAAAAATTTTCGACATTTTGGTATCCCCATTGATCCAGAAACACGGTAAATTACTAGTAGTCGAATATACTCGTAGTTTTGACCAGATTTTTTTTCACAGTGCGTCAAGGAACATGCTGTTCACTACAATAGCAGCTATCCTTGGTTTTGGTGTAGTGAAACACTCAGAGGAACAACACTTCGGAATAAAGTAGTTGCCCTAATTTTTGGTGCTCAGATATACGAAAAGCTTTTACATTGTATATCCTATATTTTAAAGGTAAAAAATTCATATTGATCGAAAACGAAGTAAGTTTGTTTAGAGAAAATGTGTTTTTCTGTCTGATTTCGTAATTTGAAATATCGTCTGCCCTAACTAAATAGTATAGTTGAGGTCACCGCCTCGAACCATTAAGATCGAGTCCTTGTACATTAAAATCCGATCATTGGATCAAAAGGTATTCAAAGTATTTCATTTATTGATTTATTTATTTCGTACTATAACTCAATAAAAATACACTTTAAATAATACAATTTCTGATAAATAGACAAAAATATGATTAATAGAAAATTTAATTCATTGATTATTACACTTTAATTGTGAAACAAAAACGGTTTGAAATGATAGAAATCATCTGTACAAAATTCTAACTGCAAAGTTCAGAAGTAGTTTTATTTTTTTAAAGCGCATTTCGCCATCTTTGCACTATTTTCAGAAAAAAACAGTTTAAACCAAAGTCTCTAAGATTTAAAAAAAAATATCACATTTTAGAAAAATTTAATTAAAAAATAAAAATTAGTCTAAACGTATTAAGAAACAATTGTATACATTTTTCTTTTTAACTTAAATATGCAAATATAATAAATATACAACTTAAATATTCGAACTATTAGCAATTCATATAATATGTTACCTTTGATGATTTCTCAGAAGCTTGTGTGAGTTTAAATTTCACTTTTTAATTTCTCTAAAAGGAGTCAAATAATAATCCTGACTCTAAAGCACAAATTTTTTCAACAATGAAATTAACTTTTGACCGTCTAGTTTTACTGCTTGTAAAAAGTGAAAGGAGAGAAAAAGGCATGGACAACTGCTAGTGCATGTCTTACTTTGAAAGCCCGTGGACACGCTTCAGGCAACAACACACGGTAGTTCTGTAGGTCGACTCAAAACGAGGGCAAACACTGTGTTCAAACAAGTGTTTATTTACTTTCACTCAAAGTCAAGATTCATTCAGATTTTTTTAAGTTATTTCCATCATTACTGAAACAAATGGAAATTCCAAAAGTTAAGGTGTTAAGTATAAATAATTCTTCATGAAAGATGTGGTACCATTACTTGGTGCTACAATAGCTATTTATCAATTTAAATTTTCATTTTTCTGAAAAGAATTCTAAAAGAATTTATTTTAGAGATTAATTAATTGTTGTAAGACTTTGGTTTACAATTCTTTTTTTGTTGGATCTACAGCACTCCATGCTTTCTTACAGAGAAAAAAAAGTATGGTCAGAACTACCAGAATATGGTAAAATTTACCATATTTCTGGCTCTATAGGAACGCCAAAATGCTCGCAATTTTGCCGACGCATTTTATTAATGATTTTGGTAGAATTAACAATGAAATAATGTTTTATAATGTGTGATAAAATTTGGTAAGTGTGCGAAATATTTCGAAATTTATTCCTCGGAGCATAGCATAAAACATTTTATTCAGTTATATTAACTTTTCAGTTTTGTATTTTTTACAAATGTGTGGTAATAAGGACTATAATATTGAAAACCTAAATTTCAGGTAAACCGTTATCATATAAACGGATAAATTATCAAGTAAATTATTTGAATATCGTACATTTTGATTTTATTAACCAGGCATTTTTTTAACCAGAAATGTTATTACAATTACCAGAACCATTCAACCAGATATTACAATAACATTTTATCTCGGAATTTTTTACTCTGTGCAAGATGAAGGGTTTCTGAAACATGTTTAAGACGAAAAATTAAATAGGGGTGGCTATAGTTACCCTACTCTTTAATGTGGGGTAACTTATTTTTACCATTTTAGAACTCTGAATATTTAGTTTATACTAAAAAGTTCAATTTGTTTATTTTATGATTGCTGCCTAGCTTACAAGTTTAAAAAAAAAACTAAAGGCGTCTGTATATTAATCTTTCTAATTTACAAAATTAAATTAACTTTAGAGATAATAAAAACTGTCTTGAACGCTGAGAGTTAAAAAACCTAAGATATTTTTTGAAACAAAACAAACGTGTGTCTACTTATATATTTTAGAGATAGAAATATGATGAACTAATGAACGCAATTTTCTGACTTGTTATAATAAATAAAGAGTTTTCTAAATAGGATAATAAATAATAAATAAGAGTTAAAGAGTTCAATTAAAAAAGATAGTATTTAAAAGTTAATTTAATATATTTAATATTTCATTACCCATCAGTTATAAACATGAAGTTAATATAAAAACTAGATATTAGGATCCTCAAATTTTGAAACTCGCAAAATGCAAATTTGAAACTGAAACTTCTTTGAAAATTTGTCATGTACAATTCAAATCTCTTAACATTTTAATCATAAAATTTAGCGTTTTGTCAAGTTTCAAATTTATTTTTTTTTTACTTTCTTTTAAAATATTATGAAAATACCCATTAGAAATAACACATTTAGCTTAACAAAAATTTTAAAATATTTCTAATAGGTTTCAATTTGATGAAAAAGTATTTTTACCTATTATTGAAGATTCAAAAGAGTAAGAGAATAAATTCAAGATGTGCAAAAAATGATTCACTTATTTCTTTAACTAATGATTAATTTCTCTTTTGATATTGTATAAATTACGTTTATCGTAATCTTTCGTATCGTATCGTATCGTATCGTTTATCCTCAAAAGAACTACAGGCGAAAAACTTGAACCTTTTTAAATATAACAGCTTAGTTCGTCTCCATGAAAGCAATCATTCTCAAATATTTGATCGAAATAAAATATTGGCACAAATTAAAATGTAGTTCCCGACCGTACAGTTCAACATTCCTATTATTTCCGTTTTTGATTAGTACTTTCGCCTTTTTTTTCTTTTTTCTTTTTTTTTTTTTTTTTTTTTTTGTTGGTTTTTTTGGTCGGTTTTAATATTGTAATTATATCCCGTGAAAAAATTCTTCTAATTAAAATTGCGGAGATTCTGGATAAAATTAACTAGCCCTTCCCACAAAACTTTTATTTCTTAAATAATTTTCTAACTTGTAGGATAATGAAATATCAATGAACTATAAGTGAGTATTTAATGCGTGTATAAAGAACAGGAATACCGAAAAGCCTTTGTACCCATAAAATATATATTTCGGCAGAATTTACCCTAAGAGTGACTTGCTCTGCAGTACTTATGAGAATAATTGACACATATGTCAGGACTAGATACCATTTTTACCTTTAACAAATGCATTGATGCTAATCAAAAGAACATTTTAAATTATTTTATCTAACTTATCTTACGTGGCAGGCATTTTATTTCAACACCAGTTTACTCATAGAAAGATTGCAGGAGAACTAAAAATGAAGAAATTTAAGATTTGTATTAAGGTATTTTGTTCAAAACATTGTAACGATTATAAATATTATTTCATTTATTTATTTATTTTACTGAATTATTTATTTTATGAATTTGAAATTTATTCTTGGCTTTAGTAAACCGAGAAAAAAAAGCCATCTGATTTGAGGCAAACCAGATAGCTTTTGTCAATTTCGGTTAATAATAAAACAGCAGTTTTCTAAGTTTATGGTTAGTCTGTATTTATTATAAAGTTATCGATTAAAAATATTTTAAACAAAAATTTAAATTAAATATTTGCAGTGTAAAAAAACTAATCTATGCGTTGATTAGAGTTTTTGCTACTATAAAACGCTCTCAAGGCGGGATAGCCTGGCTGGTAGAGCCCTTGTCCAAGAAGTCGTGGGTTCGACCCCCGCCAACCGAAGACTCCCCGTGTAGTAAATGGTGATTAATGCTCGCTAAATCTATCGGGTCACAAAGTCCTCTATGTTCCCATCACAAATCATACCTCTAGGGGTACTGATCAGAGAGTTCCCTTGTCTTCTGAATTAGGTTCAAGACTACAAGGCTACGGAGTTGAAAGTTAGTAGACGTAAACCCAAAATTGGGTCGGCTGTTCAACGACGGTTATAAAATAAAATATAAAACACTCTCACTATCTGCCACAAATGTTGCCATCGCTTTCTATGAATTTGAAGCAAAAAGCTATGTATTTTTATTTTTAATTAGACTTTTTTGTATTTTTTATTTCAGGTATTAGATAAGCTGCATAAAATTTTGATATTTTATTCAAAAAATTATTTATTTTATCTGATCTACAATTATTTTCTACTGATCTATATTTATTATTATGCCTTTCTAATGATGTCACCAAATCATGAGATACTTCGTCCTGATTTTCACACTAGTACTATTTTGAAGCGGAAAGAATACAATACCAACATATTCAAATTTGAAGAAATATACTTAATTATTAAGGAACATTGATAAGGATTCTAGGCGTTATTTTAAAGCACTGGGTCCTTATTTTAACTCACATATATATTAGCAAGATATTAACTATCTTGCTTCTACAACTTAGTATGTTACACTTTCAGAAAAATTGGCTAGAAATTAAAATCATAATGTTGGTACCTTGAACCCAAATATGGTGCAAATTTGCAGTATATTTGATACGGTGACAAATTGATCAGAGTTTCTGTTCACGATGAACCATGCTACCGTATGCTCAAGTTTAAGAAGTACTATAACATGGTTCAACTTGGCACTAAGGTTGCAGCAAATATGGACGATATTATGATTTAGACTGTTCCAAAATTTCTAACTGTATTTTAATTTTAATTTAATTATGGAAAAAAATGTCTGCAGCAGGTTTCACCCAATACTATTTTTGCTTAGTTCATTCAACACAATAATAATTTAACAAATCTTAGAATGTTCACTTAAAAAATTTATTTTCCACTAATTTCGTCATTGAAATAATTCAAAAACTATAACTAAACATCACATATATGAAGAAGAAAAAAACGGGAATCAGTATTTTTTATTCGAGTTTTTTAAAAGGTAAAACAATGAGGATGTAATTTACACTGATATGGATAACACTGAAAATGCATTTATTTTGAAAAATAAACTGGATATGAAACGTCATAAATAAACGGTTTTAAAATATTTCAGTTTTTCAGAGGAATGAAATATTCAGGATTTCAAGACGACCTCGCGTATTTAAAAGACATTAATCCGAGGTCAAAATTCATTCAACATTGTTCGCTTTTGTAACAGGAAGTTGTTTTCTCGTAAAACAAATACAATTTAAATTAGACTCTTCATCATGATTACTGGTGCGAGAAAACATTCGCCTCTGACCCATATTTCATTTCTAATTATCTAAAAGAATGGAGATCGTATATTTTACATCGATAAATTGTCATGTGATATTGAGTGATCGTTTAATTACTCATTCTTTTTCTTCCTCTTCATTATAAGATCTTTTAATTATCTTTCTAATCAGAAAATTCTGGAAAACACATAAAATTTTATGTACTACAACTATTGTGTAAGATCATTTGAATCATTATTCTTTTTTTCAATCAAATGATAATTATATGACACTTAAATGTCTGATTTTTAAATTAGTATTTTTTTTTATTTGACACTTATTCGTTAAAAGAATAGTTTAAAAAATATTCACGTTTAAAAAATGTATTATAGCTACCAAATTTGTTTATAAAATAAACATTGCCATAACTAATTTGATATAAAAAAATTATTGAGTTTCTTGTAACTGTTTACTAATAATCTTAGGATTATTTTCAATTTTTACGTAATGAAGTTTACATAATATGGATTGAGCCAAATATTGAAATATGAATGTATATAGTCGTCTTTACTTTCTCATTCACGATGATGATAAAGATTTACTAAAATTAAAAATATGGACAATAATTTGCATTAAATGTTATATTTTTACTATCGAATAATAATAAGTAACTTATTAGTTACGTTTTCCATTTTATTTAATAAAAAAGGCTTTAAAGTTTGATTAATTTTAAAAGTATTATGGGGACCGGAAAGTAATGTCGTTTCAGCGCATTAAANTTTGCATTAATTTGATAAGTAACTTATTAGTTACGTTTTCCATTTTATTTAATAAAAAAGGCTTTAAAGTTTGATCAATTTTAAAAGTATTATGGGGACCGGAAAGTAATGTCGTTTCAGCGCATTAAATATTCGTTAGTCTTAAAAACTAATTCTTTTTTTTCGATCTATTTCGATTTATTTTCGATTCGGCATTGAAAGGTTGTTGCGAATGAGGGTAAATGCATTATTGATTAAAAATAAAATCTTGATAACAAATATCAAATGCATCGAAACGACTTTACTTTCCGTTTCCCCTAATAATTTATAATTTAACCTGGTTTATATCTGGAAATTTAACACAATTTAAAACCATTTTTTCCAATCTGAATCCAATACAAATCTAAGTTTTAATGATTTTATTTTTAAAATTTGATATTTTTAATTGTTTTAGAGAATAAAAATACCGTTATCTTCCATGGAAAAATAACATTTTCACAAACTGGGTTTTATATTGGGCAAATTCTTGAGAGGGAGAGGAAACACAATTAATATGGGCAAGTTAGGTATAGTATCTAAAGTTTATTTTTCTGAATTGAATCAGATCAAACTCAATTCGATGGGACTAAACGTTTAGAAGTCATTAAGGTTCCGTGTACTAAAATTGCAGTCTCAGCCTATTAAAAAACATAAAAAATTATACCCTATTCGTCTAGACAGGATTATTTGAGTTTCGTCCCTATATAATAGGAGCAATATAATAGGAGCATAACAGGTCTAATAGGAATTATTTAAAACCAAAATCTATCAAAACAAATCAAAATGTATGCACATGATATCATTTATTTACTTAATTTTATTTATTTATTTACTCATATATTTATTTTTTTGCATTACCAATTAGTCTAAGTTTTGCTAGGAGTAAATCCTTATGGCATTAAATGCTTATTCCTTTCCTGAGATTACAATGTAAAGGATACAAAGGAAAATCACAGTTTTCAATTTGTAAATGAAATGGTAAGTGATAAAATTATTTCTCTATTTTTAATCAAATCAGTATTCAAAAATATATCAGAATCGTCGGTTGGTTTCTAATCATGGTGCAGGCTTGTGTAACTTGGTTGAAGAAATTACAAAATATTTGTGTTGCTAACTAAAAATAAGTAATAATTAATGAATTCTTTACAATATTTTTTACTTAATACAATAGAAATATTTTTAGTTCATTTAAAAATTATTATTTACTTTTAAAAATTAACATTTATTTTTCGCCATTAAAAAAAAACTCCATGTTCATTTCATTCTTATGAAAAGACTAAAATTGCAAATGAAACGCGTGTGATAACGAGTTAAATATAATCCATATACTTTAAATCAATTTTTTTAAATATAATATGCCCAGGGTAAAATGCGCAAAATTCAGGGTGAATTACTTCAATTTTTGAAATTCACTTTCTTCATTTCTTTTCTTTAAAAAAAAGAAGAAGAAGCATAATATATAATCGCTGCAAAAGTTTTCTATGATCTTTTCAAGTTAAGAAATATATACAAAAGGGAAATGAAATTTTGAAACGAAACTTTTCTGAGTACGGCATTTAAAAAAAAAATAACTGCGTTTTCTTATAAACAAAACTAAATACAAATGACACAATCAATGTTTTCTTTATTCAATTATACATTTAATACTATACATATATTACACTACTATTCCCAAAACTCCAAATCTCTAACTCATTTTGGGCAACAAAAGTATTAATTAAAATGAATTTTATTTATGAGCAATTTTATACTTGATAAATAAATAAAACATATTCTACTGAAGGCGAAATAAACTCATTATCAGTTCCTTATATTTATTCTACTTGAATTCCTTTTCTTCATCTGAAATATTAAAATGCAGTTTTGGCTTATCAACATTGCGTTAAACAGTCAGATAAATTGATAAACTTAATGATAATGAGCTAAATGAGCTTTTATCAAAAAAATCATGAATGAGTTATGTATATGAATAAATTAGTTATGTGACACTCTTGATGTAATCTGAACTTCCTTCAAACTAAAGGATAACTAGCCATCATCGAGATACCGCACAGATTCTTGTTTCTTCTCATCTTGATGTAACCTTTTTCACCCCAAAAAGGACCCCAACTGCAAAATAATAACAATAATAATTTGAATATTGTGTAAAATGACTTGTATGTCGTAGTGGCCACACTTAATAAGAAAATGAATAAAATGAATAAATAAATAAATAAAATAAATAAATAAAAATTAAATATGTATATACTCCTTAGGGATTGCAAATTGATGTCTAAAAAAATTGCTTTTACCTCCATTAAAATCTAATGAATCACGATTGGAGCAGAGATGATTAAAAAACAACATAACTAGTTTGATATTTAGATCGAATTTACAAGTGTTTTTAATGATCCGCTTCAAACCTCTAAACAAATTCATTCACCGATCAAACAAGTTTTGGATGATTTTAATATTTCTTTCCTCAATAGTTATTCTTTATATTTTAATGAAGCTCTTATTTTTTGTTCCCTAAATATTAATTTGCATCTCTAACGTGTATATAATTTGAATTTCTTTTTTGTTTCTCAAGAATAACAATATATATGAAAGGTAGTAGTTATAGGATGGCCTATATTACAAACAAATACTTTCGATGATATCATATAAAATATGTAATACAAGCTTTTTTGTTTCAAAATATTTTTAAATTAATGAAATAACAAAGGCAATTAAGACAAAACAAATTTAAAAATCAAAGAATTTGCTGGTTTAGTATAAGTTAACGCTTTTATGTTTTTCATAAAACTTGTAATATGAAAAAATTTTCTGTTTTTTATCATTAGCTATCAGAAGTGAGGAATTTTTTTATTATGTTATTTTATTAGAAAATAGATGGGCATACAGTATTTTAATATTACCATTTTTCAATAAGTCAAATTCTTCTTCAAAATTAAACCAAATTACAATGAATAAAACATTTAAAGGTAACTTATAACATAAAAGTCATTAAACATGAATAAATTAACTAAAGTAGTACCGTGTTAAATAATTAATCTCAAGAAACTGAAGCGGTAAGATATTACCGGATTGAAAGCTTCATTCGCTTCAAAAATATACAAATATGAAATAAATGAAAACGGGTGCCTATTTTTGAAGTGGTTGAAATATGTAAACTGTTATTTCATATTTATGTATTTTTAAAGCGAATGAAGTTTTCAATTTAATAGTACCTAGCTATTGAAAATTTTATTTTAAGAAATAAGAGCACAAAATTTAGTAGCTAGTCTTATAAAACCTCTTATTGAAGCAAAATACACTAGTGTAATAAATTAAGAGAATTTTCAGATTGGGCAATTATCTCTAGAACCACTGAACCAATTTTGATATGTACATGCAGTGATACAATGCAAAACAAATAACTGTTCAACAATTGTAATACGCACTCATGAGCGTGCGCAATACTCGTTGAAGTCGGGAGGTAAGAAACAGTGCTTACAGAATAAGCAAAACAAAAATAGGTAAATAAGGAATAAGGTCCCCAATTACAGATGGCCTTGCAGTATGATTTCATACTTGAAGTAAGGCAGTTTATCATTTCCTGTGGCAATTGGCCTAAATTGTCATGTGGCAATTTCATACCTTTCGATTCCATCAAGTGTTACGCATGATCATGCATGTGTATTACAATCGTTAAATGGTTATTTGTTTTGTATTTTATCAATGCATGTACAAATCAAATTTTATTAAAATTGGTCCAGTAGTTCCAGACACAACCAACCAAGTTAGCAAATTCTCTTAATTCCTAACACCAGTGTAGTTTCATCTTGCGTTACTTAACTAATGTTTTTTTAACCTATATTAATTGTTATAAGCTCATATCACCATAATAAAATCAGTTTTTTTCTGTCCAAAATCATTAAGTAACAAAAAAATATTATATATGAGAAAAAAAGGGTTTAATACCTGTTTTTAACCAGCCAGTAATCTAATCCATTTTCAGTTCCAAAACCAACTATCAGTACTCCATGAGTTAATTGATAAGGATCGCAATTCTTGACGTCATAAACTCCACCTCTAAAAATTAAAATTATAGTCATTCGATGTTACTTACAGGTTTCAATTCAAGACCATTTCATTGACATTAGCTATTAATTTAAAGTTTAAATACTTGGGTCTGCAATTACACTTTATGTTTAAATATGCGAATGTTTTATAAAACATGCAGAATAAAAATGAAAATAAAATAAAACATGTTGGCTTAAGTTACTTATCAATGAGGGAAATTAAAGCGAAAAATAAGAATTCTACATTTTGCTTATGTTTATTGGTGATATGGTAACCGAAGATTACAGGAAAGTGTGCATTTACTGCTGAAATCCTTTATAGGTAATTATAAAAGTGCAAACAATTATTCAGAATCATTGTTAAGGTATCAAATTGAGTACAGTTTTGAAAGATTTTTGATATTTTTAGATGTCTAAAAGAAAATCAAATGTTCATACTTGTAGTAAATAAATCCATAGCCTTCAGAATTTATTGCTACTGATACTGGACCAACAGTTGAAACAGCTTTCATTAGAGCATCTTCATCTAAACTTTTAATATCTACCCAACCAGATAAAGTTGCACCAACATTTTTCTTCATAAAATGACATTTACCTAACTGAAATCAGCAATAAAAACTTTTATTCACAAGTGAAAATTTTTTAATTCTAAAAATCAATAATGTAAGTAAACTTAAGAAACATTTTAAAAACAATAAGCATTGCTGTAAGAAATTGCGTGCATCAATATAACAATTTTGGACAGTTACAATTACATGTTAAAATTGACTCCTATTTTATGTATCCCAATTAATTTAGTTATTAATTAATTGGGTTAAGTGTGAGACACAAATAACAATAAAAATGTCTCAGGACCCTCAAAAGTGCTCGTAAACACATAACTTTACGAAGTACTGCATCTTCTTATAAGTAGAATAAAGTTGAATCCAGTGCTTTCATGTAATGAAAATGCACAGTGAAAAATTTTGGTGTAAAGTTGCCACCATATTTGGTGTTGAAATAAACTAAAATCTTTTGCAGTGCACTGTGGTTAGATTTCTAATTGCTATAGTTTTATTCATTTATGCATTTTTTTTTTGTTTATTTGTTTACTAACAACTCTTATTTTCATGCGAGTTAGAATTAAATTAATGGCTGTATTACGAAAACATTTCATTTAAGCAACAAGTATATTTTACTTAATATATTCGCACTAATTCTATCAAAAGATTGCTATTCCGTCAATTTTATATAATTTTTTGCACACGATAACTTCAGTTCTGAGCTTAAATATTATATATATACCAAAATCTTTGCGTGTACGATTTCTCAAAAACTACTTACATAATTTTTTAATTTTTTACAGAAATGCTGATTTCCTGTAAGCAGCTGAAAGATCTTGATGACACTGTCTTGCTGTACAATTTTTTCTTTTACGTTACAACTCCTTTGTTTCTATTTCAAAAATATCGCTACAAAATTATGCTAGACCAGCTAACTTAAGACCCTTATATTTTTTGTCTGTCTGTGAACATGCAAGTTAAGGTAAGAAAGACAAGTAACTAACGCTTGGTATAAATGGCAATTCGACTCTGTTCGATGGCGTCGGCGTCTCTTCAATAGAGTTGCTTGAGCCATGGTGGTTCAGTGAATGGAGCATTCGCCTTCCAATAAGGTGAACCGAGTTCGAATCCCAGCAATGGCTGGTTGGTACGAATTCCGCACCCGACTGGCACCGACCTCATTTCTAACATAAAATATCCTCAGTGATACACGGATCATGGGTTAGAGTCCCCTTGCCGTCAGGCTAACCATCGAAAGTTTTCATGGTTTTCCTCTCCATGTAACGCAAATGCGGGTTAGTTTCATCAAAAATGCACCACGAGGGCAAATTTCCTCCAATACTTAATCCAGGAGTTCCCTTGTCTTCTTGATTTACAGGGGTATGGAGTTGAACATTGGTAGTCGTAAACTCAAAGTTGGGTCGGCTATTCAACGACGGTTATAAAACAAAATAGAGTTGCTTCTAATTAAATTCCAATCCTTGTAATTGTTTAACTTACTTTTCCTGTATAAGGATATGACTCTTCAGTATCTATTCCATGATTGATTTTGATGTAGGCAAAGGCTGAGTCAATCATACCTCCATTACAACCATGGTTTCCTGAAACAGCATACAATTTTACATTTAATAAAGAATAATAAGAGTAGAATTATAACGAAGCGTGAATATACTATATTACACCTATGAATATTAGAATTTATCCACAAATAAAATCGTTTACAGCTTATATAGTAGTACATGTTATAATCTTATGCAGAAATCTGATCTCAAAATTAATTTCATAGTGACGTTTTTAGAAAATAATTTCTTGTTAAAGACAAGTATAAATGATTTTTTAAGTTAAATTGTTTGAAACAATTTTTCCCAAAATTATCATACGTTACTCATTATATCTCTCAGAATTCTATTGAAACAAGGTGCACCATTGATAGTGATTTTTCTTATTGATCAACTAGATTCAATCTTATTTCTTTCAATTACGGAATTTAAATAGTTAGAAACTAAATTATAAGGAAAAGATACAGATATAAAAACCAGCATTTCGATTCAATAACTTTTTAACTGTAGGGTCACTTTTTAATTGCAGGTTTTTATCATGATACCTTAGAGCATGGCGGAAAAACCATTAATTCAGTTAAATTTACTCTTTTAGTTTAGTATTTTTTTATTAAATCTGTGGTAATAAGAACTGCAACTTTCATTATCAGAATTTCCAGTATACCGTTACCATATGAACGGAAAGATTATCAAATGAATGGATTGAATACCGTATATTTTGGTTTTATTAACCAGAATTATGTAAAATATATGTATTTAGCAGAAATGTCATTACCATACAGATTGGTGATTTTAAAAGAATTTTTTTCTCAGAGCAGTGATTTTAATCTTGTCTCTTTATAGTTTAAACGTTCATTTCCTAATCGATTTCCCTACATGATTCATTTTTGCAAAGGTTATAGAATCTAGAGTAAAACATTTTCTTCATAGAAAAAGGTCAATTTAAAAAATAAAATTCTTTATAATTAATGAAAATCAGTCATGTAAGCTTTAATGTTGCATTCTATATCACTTGTTGGTCATTGGTATTTGTATAAAGATACTGATAAGGATAAGGAGTAATTTGTATTGGTATGAATGCAATTTATCTTTCCAACTTTAATGCATAAGAATACCTTAAAATAAACAAGAAAAATAGTTCTTTTGCTTAAATGCATGCTTTTCTGATACAAACTTCCTTTAACCCCTTCCTTCTCGCTCCCGTGAAAATGACGGGGTGAGGTTTCGCCCTCTATTTCTCCCTCCCGTGAAATTTCCGGGATGGAGTGTTCAGCAGTAACGCGCCAATAAGAATAAAATAATTAATTTCTTTTGCCCAAAAAACATTTTATTTCTCGTTTTACACACCAGATGGCAGTACCAGGATATTTTTAAGGTAATTGTAGATAGCTAGCTTATTTTGAACTAGATGTCAGCACTAATCAAATACGTGTATTTGTCAAAATAGGCACTTTTATGACCGTTTTCTTGAAAATTAACCGATCATTAAGGGGTTAAACATTGCACATTTTAGTTACGATATTACTCTTCAAGCAAGTTTGAATGTTAGTCAGAGGGAGAAGATATTTAATTAAATGAAGTGAAATGTTTTTGACAAATAACAAATTAAACAATCAATGTCTAAAACATTAATACGTGATAACTTGCTAATTATGCGCAAGTTATTTTTGTGAACATTTTGAAAATAGTTGCTAAGTTTCCATAAGTTTTAAAAAATTGTATTGTAGTTTCTCTCTGAACGATTTTCACTTTAAAAAAGTCACAAAAGAAATCAATGAATTAAAATGAATCGTAAATTACAATTCGTTTAATTTCTTAACAAAATTTGTAAAGAAATAATACAATGGACGTAATTAAAATAATTATAATTGAGTTAAAATTATCAATTAAACATCATAAATAGTAAAAAAAAAAAACATGAATAGTAAAATATGAATAGTAAGCTTACCTTCCTCTCCTGCACAATCCACGAGATTTTGTTCGCTTAAAGAAAGTAATTTTCCAGTTGCCCTTTTGTGTTGGCCTTCTAAGGATCCAACTGCAGTAAATGCCCAACAAGATCCACATTGTCCCTGTAATAGTTATGAAAAATGTTCTTAGATGGGTAAGTGGTGCGTTTAGAATATACTAAGGAGAAAAAAAAGTTTGCATAAAATTGCATTTGCAATTAAAATATTTGATTTCATAAAAGTTACATTTTCTTTTTCTAAAACTTCTAAAAAAGGCAATACGTAATCTGCATGAAATTATTACAGACACAAAATAATTTTTATCCATTTAGATATCGCTTTGTTAAAACTATAATAATTTAAAAATTCTTCCAAAAATTTCCAAACTGACATTCTAAAAATAATTTTCAAAAACACGTGCTTGAAAATGTGCTCAACGCCAAGTTGTCAATGTTTCAAGCATATTTTAGTTTTAAGTGATGAAAAATTGCAAATTCGAAAATCATTTGGATGAAAGTGTATGGAATATTTGAATGGTAACAAAAAAAGCCAGATGTGACTATACTGTGCCTAAAACAACAAGTATTAAGTATTCAATCTAACAAAACTAAAATAGAGCTAAAAATTTTATTTCGCACAAAAAGAAATAAAAAGGAAGAAATATCACAAGGTGTATGTCAGTCATGAAAGTTGCGTTTATTTAAAGAAAGAGGTGAAATTTCTTATATGATTAAACATAAAGCATAGGTATATAATTATACGTTGTTATAACTATAACTATATTATTACCGTCGTTGAACAGCCGACCTAATTTTTTTGGGCTTATGACTACTAATGTTCTACTTCGTATCGTTGTTATTTTGAACCCAATCTGGAAGACAAGGGAACTCCTGGATCAAGCATTGGGAAAAATTTGCCTTGGTAGAGGACTTTTTGATGAAACTAACCAGCATTTGTGCTGCATGGAGAGCAAAATCACGAAAATCTCCCAGGGTTAGCGTGACGGCAAGGGGACTCAAACCTATGATCCGTCTACCATTGAGGATATTTTATGTCAGAAATGTGGTCGGTGCCAGTCGGGTGCGGAATTCGTACCAACCAGCCATCGCTGGGATTCAAACCCGGTTCATCTCATTGGAAGACGAACGCTTTATCCCCTGAGCCACCACGGCTCTATAACTATAGAAAAATTTTGAATTTTTTTCAGTTTTTAGCAGTAATTTTACATTATATTGTCTACATTACATTTTCATTTTATTTTTATGACATGCCCTATAACATGCATTTTAGATTTATCAATCAGTATGATTATATTTGCAGACAATATAACTATGGTTTTAGTACCGAAACATTTTTGTTTTTACTTTTCATAATAGTTTTTACTTCTTATAATAGACTTAATTTTTAAATCATTGTTTGAAAAAAATTTCAAATCTTACCTGATCTTTCACTTCAGTTACAAATCCTTTTTCTCTCCAGTCAATAGATTTTGGATAGACAACATTTTCGGGAGCAAGGAAGGTTGAGTATGATTTTGTCATATTATTTATTTTCAATCCGTTTAAACTGCTGTACTCATGAGGAAACTGTAAAGAATTACAATATACTCAAAAAGCATTTACTGACCTGCAATACATTATTAATAAATATTTTCTGTCATCAGATTTAATTTTCGATGAACTTGATATTTTGAAAAAGAAAACAAAATTGCCATTAAGGATCAGCAAGGTTATAATGATAAATAATATGTGATGGCATAAATTTTCCTTCATTTTCTTTTGTTTTTTTGTTAAAATTCTGAATTCTGAATTATAAATTCTTCTTTAAATTCTGAATAAAAAAACAGATACGAAAATAAAACTGCGAAATTTTTGAACGTAACAAACCAAAATAGACGTTGCGCGTAAAGGGTAAGTACAGAAAATGTGCAAGCAGTACATGAATAGACTGCCTCTTCAAAAAACTAGCACTTGATTCTCTAAGCCAGCAATAAACTGTTTAACAACAGTCAATTTTTAAAGAACAGTCTCCTATTCAATAACAGTCTAAACTGTCGATCGTGAGCTGCTAGTAACTCGCGGTATCTTCTTCGGTAGATCGCATCAAAACTCCAGTTGGCTTACCTTGATTACTCCACATAGCTGATAAGACAAATGTAGGATTTTTAAAAAAAATAATGAATAAAAATAAAAATTAAAAAAATACTAACTCGGTAGTTCTTTTAGTTGGGAGCTCACAGTAGGATTAAAAAAAAAACGTTACGGTAGCTCAGAAGCTTCATAAGTATAACAACCACTGTGTTACGTCAAGAGCTCAGGTATCATAATTTTGATCTAGTTGCGCTTGTATAATTTTGTTCTAGTTGCGCTTGTATAATTTTGATCTAGTTGCGCTTGTATGTCATTTTGATTTATGTTGTTAAGTTAACTTTCAAACAATTCTACGGCTGGCAACAGCATTTTTTTATTTTTAAGTTGTTTATTTTTATTTCTTTTAGAATTTGTTCTTTTTTAGCGAAATGTTTTTTAACCCTAACAGAATTCTTTGCCGACTGTTCTCTCTATATATGAAGAAAATAAAGTAAATATTTTAGTGTTGTGAAAAGAATCTTATTTAGTTGTACAAAGTACTTCACACTGCTCTAAAATATCCCACTTGCATACGGCATATTTCATGTTAATCAATATTAAAAATTTTCAAGATGTCTTCCATTCTAATAATTGAATATTTTAGGGTAAACTATTTAAAACTTTTCATGTTCCATTTTCAATAGTTATTTCAAACTTTTTTCAATTCAAACTTCACAAAAAAATTTAATTATTTCAATATTGAAATGAATAAAAGTGGAAAATGACATAAATTATTTATTATACTTACAGTCTTATACCTAAAAAATGAGGTTTTTAGTCTGAATACTAGCTCAATTCATTTTTGATATTTCCATGAAATAAATTATATTTCACATATTTATTAAAAATGATTCGAAAATTCCAAATCAAGACCAAATTCCAGTCATGTAGTTTTTCTCGTTAAAAAAAAATTTATGTATAGTTTAAAAAAGTGTTTTGAACTTGAACTGATTGGTTATGAATTTTGTAGATTAAGTTATGAATTTAGTTAATAATGATTAAGTTATGAATTTAGTAGCATTTTTTTAAATTTGGTTTATTAAACTAACGGTACGAATCTTATTTCAATTATAAAATAAAAAAATAAAATAAGATAAAATAAATATTTTCAATTAATTTCGAGAATTATAATTTAAAATTGCTTTGCTTCTTACGCATAATATTATTCAATTGTATTGCAAAACTAAGTAGTAAGTTTAATAAAAAATGAAAAATATAGAAAAATTGCTGCTTTAAAGTAAATTTAAAAAAGCTGTTCGAAGACCAGATGTATCCAGGAATTGATAGGCTAACTAACTTTTAAAAATCGTGATCAAAATTATAGTTTGAAAAAAAGTAATTCAGGCTGTTTTTAAAATAAACTGCCTCACATGAAGAAAAATAACCTACTATACATTTTAATTATCGCTATATCTTACAAATAAGATAAAAAAGACACAATTTCAAAAGTTTTTGATTCATTGAGATCCATATAATAAAATAAACCTATATAAATATGTATACAAAATTGGGGAATAAAAATGCTATACCTTGTCTGTGAGATGGTTGACTCCAAGTCTGAATGAATGTAAGTTCAAATCAGCTTCTAAGTTATGTTTTTGAATATTTGCAACATTTACTTCCCAAATGTAACGCCTAGTGCCTTCCTCCAAGCTGTTATAGGTTTTATTAAATAATTTCTGAAAGAAAAATTTCTAATAAATTACTGATTTCAATCATTTCAGTAGAAATTTAAAACTTAAGTTTATAGCTATTTAATTCGAAACGAATTTTAAGTTTGGCAGAATCAAACTCGATGAAAATGGCAGCACTTGAGGAATGGTCCTGAAAGGCAATAGGTAGCCCGTTTTAGTGACCATTGCATAAACTTATATTTTAAAAGAAAACCTTTTCTTGCAGACTTACTGCAGAATTTTAGACATTCAACATTTAATTAATTAATGTAATAAATTATAATTACAGGGATTTATTCCATAAGAAATTGTTAACATTGAGACATTAAATTTGTTTAATCTACTTAATCATTAATGTCATGTAGCAAACCTCGACATTAACGGTAGTCCGTTGATCCAAGACCGATAAAATTGACTTGGACCACCATAAAATAATTATCAGTGGACTGCCTGACAGCAATCGATCTAAAGCGATGGTATGCTGTTTCGATTTTTGGTTTAATGTTTTAGTTTCTGTTTTGCCATTGAATAGTATATTTCATTAGTATTATTGTGACATTACACATTCTCTAAACTGTAATTTTTTATTTAGATTTACTTTATCAACTTTTTAAAAAAAATTCTAGAGGAGTTGAAAATTCTAATGGACTAGTAAAAATGTGTACTGATAAGTATTATCTTTCTTTTACTGGTCCTTCAGACCAGTGACTAATTACCCTTACATGTGAAACCTTGACTATGACATAGTATTGAAATAAAAATAAAATGAAGAAATACTTAAAAACATACTTGTAATCTTGTATATAGAATCAAATGAAAATAAAGTCTTAAATCTTATCAGCATTTGCTTCTGATACCAGAAATGTATTTTCCTTCATTCATAAACAAAATTGTTTGACCTATCAAGTTTGAACTATGCGTCAGCTCAATATAAAGAAAATTTATATTAATAGCTGCTCTATGCTTTACAAAGTAGCATTCTAAGAGAGCAAGAAAAAAAGAAAATGCAGTTATTCATTATTGTCTTTAACTTTGTTTTTTCTTTCAGAGGAAATAAATGAAAGAGAAAATTTTTTATAGAAAGTGAACATGGCTTGGTTACGTTCAAAATAGGACAAAATTTCAAAACTATATTTGACTACATCCTAATTATTCAAAAAGTGTTTTTGCACGGCAGCATTTTTGGATTTCTATTTTTAACTTTTTTGGTTTTTTATTAAACTCATTCCTGTGGTAGGAATCAATATAAAGTTTCATAAAAATTAAATTATTTTGAAAAACAATCCGCAAATTTCAAACAAACTTCACCAAATAGTGGAGGTGATGAAATGGTATATATTGGAAAAACCTATTACGAAAGTTAAAATTAATTACTTGCAAAAAGTTTTTTAGTTGAGATTTTGTGTTCATTTTATCTAAGTCTGGCTAGCGAATATCGAAATTGAAGACGTATACAAAACCGATCGTTCATAGTTCAGACAAAGAATCCCGAGTTAAAAAATAAATAAGTAAATAAAAAGAAATTAAACTTCCTCGTCATACTACAGACTGAACAGAGATCTGTCTTCCAGATCCTCACGGAACTAAGAAATAAGTTGAACATTTGCTTGAAAGCTGACCTCTGACGAACATTCATGCTTTAACTGAAAGCACAAGGCAGTCAATGTAAAGAGTAACAATAGAGTTTTCAAATTTAATTAACAATGTTTTCAGTTTCCACAGAAAAATGCTAGAAAGATAATAATATGAAAATAAATATGGAATCCTGTTTTAATTATTTTCCTTCAAATATCTTCTGTTCTTTTGGAAATTTTTTTTTCAATATTTAGGGGAAGGGGCAATAGGGGACATCTCAACATCTAGAAGGAGGCGATAGGCCGAAAAAGGCTATGAACCACTGGTATAAAGCTGTCTATCGTTTAAATTTACTTTTCAGTTTTGCATTTTTTTACCAAATATGTGATAATAAGAATAATAATTTTGAAAACCGGAATTTCCGGTAAATCGTTCCATATAAATGAAAGAATTACCAAAAGAATGGTTCAAATACAGTATATTTTTCTTTTATTTATCAGTATTATTGTTTGTTTGATTTTTTTCTCCAGAAATGTCTTTACCATACAGTACGATAATTTCACCAGATGTTCTTTCTTCATGAAGAATTTCAGAAAAATGATAAAAAAAATTGATTTTTGAATATTTTTCTTTTTCAATATGGCAGCTTATTATACAGAAAGAATTACATCACTATACATAGGAGAAATATATATATATATAT